ATGAGAAAAAAAATTACATTTCAGTTTCATGATCGAGTGTTGCTCATACTCTAGGGTAGCAATGGGATCGCCCAGGGTCCACTACTCAGTGATGCTGGATAATAACGGATAATCGATTGTTTTACGCTCTAAAGACGATATGCTGATGACATTTTGTGTTTTATCGATGTCCAGACTCTTGAAAGCATTTGATCCAGTGCATCCAAACACAAAGTTTGATCTAGAAAAAAGGAGAATAAAATGATTGCAGCCCCGGACTTTCTGCTAAGTCGTCTATCAAACGGAACTACTCAACGCAGCAACCACATGATGGTATATATTATATCAAGTTATATAATCACGTTAGTTGCGGTTAGCAGCATATAACCTCTAAAAAAAATTGATTCTTCAGTGGACTAGCTCTGAAAGAGCTGTCTAACAAAAAGTTACCCGGTGCTGCAAACAAGGTTATTGTGACGAAAATACACTTCGTGGGTACAAGTATATGAACGATCTGATAAAAGATTACCGGATACGCATGCCTGAAGAGCGGCCAGAACCACGAGACCGGTCGTGTGCTCCCAGGGCAATTTTGTCCAGTCATCCACATACTACTTATTATTTATATATATATAGTCTAGACTGTGCGCCAAAAAAATTACGGCACAATGATTTTTATCACAAAGAAGGTGGTTTACGAATTGCTCTTGGGAAAAATACTGCAAGGATGTTCAGACCGAAATAAGTTTATTTTCTTCAGGAATTCACTGCTGGAGTTTTCGACTAGTCAAAGCCCAATCCCCAAGGCAGCGGAACGGTGAGCGCAAACCACAATTCATTGCGGACTAGTATCCAGTTCATCGGACTATATGCCCTTGCACTTGGTTTAAAATCCAAGGTGCACATTAACCCTTGATGCCCGGTCGAGTCTGTGATCCCTGCCAAAACAGGAAGTTGTGGGTGTGTGGTTTGTACGCCTCTCCTTGGTTGGTTTATAGTCAGTAGGGTTATTGCCAAATCCCAGAGGTTAGCTGTCGGGGGTTCACCGACCCAGATGTTACTTTTTCGCCCTGTTATATGGGCAAGAAAATATCTCCACTACGGGAAGGCTCCTTTAGTTTAGGGTATTTGAGACGTTTGATCAAACAGGGGTAGTTCACGAGTTGCAAGCGGAGGGTGACCAACCACAACCCAAGACACTCACTCGCAACCGTGCTGAGTATTTCAGAAGCGGAGTAATTTGTATATCCCTTTCCAGAGCTATGTGGCATTGGAACGTGAAAGAAATCTGATTCAGTGTCTCACTAACAGGGTACGAAAATATGCATAGATAATGCCATTGAGAGTAAACTGAGACTTATTCAAGAAGTTTTCTTTCAGAAAAGCTACCCAGAACGATTCGTGGACAACATTGTAAGGCATCACCGTTGCCAAACAAGAGCACTACCGCTGGGAAGAAACCAGTAAACATATCACTGCATTTTAAAGGAGGCATAACTGCCAACATAGTAACAGGCAAACTGAATATAGTTGTGAAAAAAAAACATTTCTCGCAGTGAAGCTTCGTATTACTTTCATTTCCATGTCGCTCTTGCGGTCCCAGGTCACACATAAATTGCCTGTTTCAGCAATATTTTTCAATGTGTACATATTGACCTATTCTTGTGGGACAAGGTATAGTGGCTGTACAAGCAGACATTTATCCGAACGAGTTCGCGGGCACTACTCGGCCTGCCTGAACAGTGGAGTGAGCAGGACCATCAACAGTTCGGTTGTTCTACACCTACTTACTGGGGGCAAACCACGTGGTGAATGGTGGTCGAGGTGTTTCACCATTCTCCTCCCTTGTCTAGCTCGCAATCGTCTATCTAAGGGGATTAGGAGTCGCATTTTTACCACAGTGTAAGCAATCGGAATCCGACCACATAATCTTCTCCTATACTTAGAAAGACAATTCGTAAGAACACTGGGTCTTCCATGGTCAACATCATTAGGGACACAGTCATCCGCCCTTATGACCCGAACACATACCTAAGTTTGATAACCGAAATGAGAGTGACAATCGATCATGGAACTGAAATTAGATTTATTTTCTTATTCTGTAATGATTCTTCCCTCTCCCATAAACATATTTTATATAAATTTCGGAGTAGATCAATCTCCGTAAACGAGCTTGTGTGTTTTCTTACAATGCCTTCAAACCACGAGCAATGATTTACGTTAGAGATGGATTTGACTTATCCACTAATAGGAGGACTGAGTAAAAGTAAAAATAAAACAGACTGATTTATGAAAAAAGGGTCCCACTACTGTCAACTTAGGGCACCCACAGTGTGTCAATCTCAGCCGCACCAGCTTAATTTAGTACTAGCAGTAGTAGCAACAGCAGTAGCACTAGCAGGCTCCGATATCATCCAGTTCAACGCCTAAAGCTCCAGTTGGGTGTCCCATGTAATTCACTGCTTCAGGTTTTTATGTACAACAGGTGCTTGTTTCTAGTGTTCGTGAAAAAGGAATTCAGTATCACAACCAATTCACAGTAAGCGTCAGTTTTCTTCCACAGAAGGAACTTTAACCTACTGTTACTCAATAATCAGATATCAGATATAGCAGTGAAATAACTGTAATCCACTTATTTGTATAATTTGTCCATGAACCAATCAGTAAGTCCATATGCAGATTTTCTCACAATGTGCAATGATGGAATATTCAGACATATCAAATGCATTCTATCAGCTGTTCACATTGTAAG